ATCGAGGTTTCGGGGGTAGATCTGGCTACTCCTAGGTTCATTAGTATCGGTCGTTATAATCGGTGCGACCGCAAACCTCGGGGTAGAACCCTCCTGTAAGACCAATTTGCAACATGGTTCCAGATTTTAAGAAGGAACGAGATTCCTGTGAGGAGAAGGGTGATGAACGATAGCGACGTGTCTATCGACCAAGGCATCTTTGCTGCCCTTTGGAAGAATGTCCGTCTCCATAGTGTCCTTCGACTATTATATATTCCAGGCGACAAACCAAATTTTGGATTTGGATAGCGAGGTCGGTGAAAACCAAATTGTGGCCATAGCCTGAACAGCGCTAGTAAACGTCCAGCACAGTCGAGGAAACCAAATTCTGGAAGTCGAGGGCACTCTGCCGCACCGTATCACAGCGTCCGACAGCGTCCGAAGTTGGGCTTCAGCCAATGAAGGCGTAAGTATACGGAGGCTGTGCTCCTGGTAAACCCTGATTCGAGTGTTGCCCAACCAGAAGATGAATCTTTGGTCTCAGTTGAAATTGGTGCGCCCCCGAGAAGGATATAGTACCACCTACCTGCCGTTCATAAGGATTGTCGGTGACGGATTTCTCTCCCCCCCTTCATCAAAGTCTTCCCCTGCGTGAAAATCCGACCCTCTGGAGCATCTTTACTTGCTTCACGATGCCGAAGAAAGCTCCTCGAATCCCGGAAGAGATATGGAATCGACACAAAGAAGAAATCATTGCTTCTTATTCATCGAGAACGTTAGATCAAATGATGAAACATATGATGGAGGAATATGGCTTTGAAGCTAGGTATAAAGTTGACTTTCCTCGGGCCGAGCCTTCTTAAAGTTGACTCGACATGCTGACACTGTCGCGTGGCTGCCTCTAGTAAGAATCAATATGTTGGGAAATTGAAACTCTGGAAAAAAAAGAAAATATAACACCAGAAGAAACCAAGTCTTTGATCAGCCAAAGGAGCAAAAGCGAAGACAAGAGGACAAAGACAGTGGCCTTCATATTTATGAATATACACGTGAAGAAACCGAGATTGAGTTTGCACGACCCGTTCATCCAGGTCACGAGTGGTGTGACAACTACATCACGATCTGCATACCCCAGTTTGAGCAAACTCACCTATCGAGCATGTATAACACTTTCCTCCTTCGCAATCTTCCTTGGTACAGTTTTATCCAGAAGATACAGAACCTCAGTGGGTGTCTAATTGCTATTCTTGATGTCTTTTCTTACACCCTATACCTTCCTATCCTAATCATGAACGGCTCTGTTCTTGTATGGTTCACCACGAGCTTTCTCACCCTTCCTTTGATTGGCAAAGTTGGAAAAAGCTAATCAGTTGCTTTCGTCTCCGTAGATAGTCAGATGCCTATGGCCCCACCAACCTCTAGTACCTCCGTGGATAGTGCCCTGAGGGACCTGGCCAGTCGGTTCGATAGCGGCGTACCACGATTAAAAATTGAAAAGATTTTCCACCACAAGGTCAACATCGACCATAATATGTTTCTTCCACCTGAAGAACCGTATGCCAGACATTCCTCGACCTTGAAACCAAAAGCACTGCGGGGGAACTCTTCTTCTTCCATCCTCAAGCTCTTCCTACAGCAATTTGTTTTTCTGTCCGCCAATAATTTACTCAGCCAATCGCAAATCCACGAGATTGTTGAATACATTGTCGAGAAAGGCGGCACGATCATCCTCTTATTCATCTGTCGTCTTCGGTCCCCGTTGATAGCGGTGTTCGCAAGGAAGGTTTTCCACAATGCTCTCCTGTCTGGAAATATATATCTTAGTCGGAAGTTCATACAATGCGGTTTCTGGCTACAGACTGATACTCCCTCTTGGCACCAAAATTGGACCGAGTATCTATGCAAAGCGGTATACAGTGGAAATGAAGCTATGGTTGAGCTACTCTGCAGGGCCGGGGTTCGCCCTGAAATCAAATTCAGTTCTAGAAGGCCTAATTACTGGGATTTGAAAGTTCAGGTCCTACCAACATTGCTCGCCTTTGGTGCCGACCCAGAAAATTACATCAAAGATCGAGAGACTGGATTCCCTTTGATTGATGCAGCGCGTAGCGGCAGCCTCAAGGCCGTGAAACTGCTTCAGAGTAAGGGTGCTCGGGTTAACCTTTACCTTGCACGGTATTGCGGAACAGCTTTACAAGCTGCAGCTTCTCGAGGCCACTTAGAGGTGGCTGAGTATCTCGTTCAGCATGGAGCGGACATTAATGTTCCTTGTGTTCAGCAAATCCAATTTCCGGGTTACTACACCGATGAGGTTATGATATCTCTTCTGACCCCCGTTCAGATTGCTGCAATGGTGGACAATGTGAGTTTTCTTCGATATTTGCTCCAACACGGAGCTTCTGCGATGGCTTTCCCGGCATCCGCTGTTAACCCTCAAAGGGATCTACGGGTACATCACCCTCATTATACCAGCAAGACATTAGTATATACTGCCTTGCAATATGGAGTCATGAATCAGAATATGGAGATTATCTTGCTTTTGCTAAACGCAAGAGCTTCTCCAGACTCCCGTGCTGCACTCCATTTAGGTGACACACCTTTTCAAATGGCCGCAAGATTAGGAAATGTCGAGATATATCGACTGCTCTGCAGCTGGGGTGCTGATATAAACGCACCACCTGCGGTGTACAATGGCCGCACTGCACTGCAAGGGGCAGCAGAGAGCGGGAATCTGGAAATCATAAAGATGCTTTTGGAAGCCGGCGCGCAGATAAACGCACCAGCAGGAGCGGAAAAAGGATTGACTGCCTTGCAGGCCGCCTGCTTGAATGGTCACTATTTGATGGCTGGGTTTCTACTCGCTAAAGGGGCGGATTTGAACGTAGATCCATCGCCCGTTGGGGGTTTGACACCTATCCAGGCAGCAGCCTCTTACGGTGACATAAGTCTTGTGAGAGATCTGATCGCTCTGGGAGCAGAGGTTGACGCTCCACTAGCCAAGGATGGCATGACCGCTCTTTCAGCCGCTGCCAAGCATAAGTCACTGCCACTACTGGAGCTTTTAGCACAGCATGGCGCGGATGTTAACGCAACCGAAGAGTATGGTATTCCGTCACCTCTTGCAGTGGCAGCGAGACAAGGCTGGCTCGAAGGAATGCGGTTTCTTCTGGACCGTGGTGCGAAGATTTACTACAGCTCACGAGTCCCAATAGCGCAAGGTGGAATTATAAAGTATCAGTTAGTGCGAAATGTAAGCCTTCTTGACTGGGCTATCCTATGCAGGTTCGAGGAGATGATAAAGTTATTGTTGCAATATGGCGCCAATGATGGGCACAGTTGAATCCTTGACAACTTGAAACATAATTAAGACATCTGATAACTTCCGCCTACATAGACCTGAAGCTGATACAAAAAGAGCCCTGAAGCCATACAGTCCGAACCGTTGGCGAGGTTATCCACTCTACCCCATAGTCTTCATTGGTACGGAAGCCTATAGCGCGCATCTGACCACAACGCAAACATGACCCTAGCATTACCCTGATCCGTGACGTATTTATCCATGTTATCAAATATTGTCATTGACCTACTCTTTCTAATATCTATCTAAGCACCTTCATTCCTCCGTCGAAAATGCACTGGTTCGTACTGTTAAGGAGCATGGCCACCAATCCCAGCACCCTCCTTGCCATTCTATCGAAGTGATATCGCCCCAGAGCCTTGTATATCAGATACCAGCTAACGCAACAATAAACTAGTATCCGAAATGGAATATACTCCGACTTCGAGATAAATTGCCACCCATCGACCTTCAAAGTCCATCGATGTATCATCTGTCCGCAGTCTCCATTCTTCGAAAAGGCACTGTGTGGGAAGTTTCAGGTAAGTTTATGGAATATGCCAGTATGAATCTAACGAGTTACAGGAGGCGAAAACAAGAGTCGTTACTATCCACGATGATCCCACGATCATCAGTAAGATGATCGATTATTTCTATCGTGGAGACTATGATGAAACACCGGACAAGAAACACCCTGCCACCAATCCCGAATATGAGCCTCCGACTACCAAAGCGCATGTTAGCATCGCAATGTGCAACGTTGCTGATAAATACGCTGTCGAACCACTCATGGCTCTTGCGAAGAAGAAGTTAGAGCACAGACTTACAATAGTTCGGGACAATAAGGAATTCATCCGAACTATCGAGAAAGTCTACGGACCGGATAGTCCACAGTACTCCAAGCTGCGGGATACAGTAGCAAGTTTCGCCGTGGAGCATCTTGATACACTGAATGGGATTTCAGATTTTCACGAGACACGCAAGGAATACCCACAATTTTCATACGACTTCTCGACATTATTGATAGACAAAATAGCTCGTGTGGAGGGGAAATTACGGTACGTGATCAGATCAATTGAACCAACTAAAAAAAAAGGGGGAGTGCATTGCATTGTGGCTTACGCTTATGGAGACAGGATTATGAAAAGCCTGGATATAGAGATCTCCCCATCTGGAGTCGCCTCAAGTATTCGTGAAATCTGTAACACTTATCGCGAGAGGATATGTCTAGACTGCTGTCGCTTTTTTATAGATAAGGCGAGTTTGAGGCGGCATGATACGATGAAGCATTCTTGGTGTACGGATTGCAAGAGGTCGTTTGGGTCGCGAGGCGAGGCGCAGAGTCATCGGACGCAGGCTCATAATGGGTATTGAGCATGCTCTAGTTTTTTCTTTTCATTTCTTTTTTTATTTCTTTTGCAGTTTATGTTCGTGAAGTGTGTTTGCAGCTGTCATCATTATGGCGATCCTACTCTGACCCTGTGAACTGGATGATAGATAGAGCATGACTTCTCCCTCCAAACAACATTCCCACTGTCTTGGTACATACACAAAAACGTAGTACATAATACTAAGCCCAATGGTAGATTGCACAGTAAGCCCCAACCAACCAAGAACTTAAACCAACCTTTCAAGATACAGACTCATATGATCTGAATGCCACCAATTCCTCAAGGTCCCGAATTTAACGACAGGTATCAGTGTTCCCCTTCCCATTGTTCTGACAACCATCATAACAACGTTGAACAACAGTAAGGGACTGATCATCGTTGCAATGGAACAAAAACCAACGCCAACCGGTTCTGTTACGGACGTCTGGTACATCACCGAATCGTCTCAATGCGTCCATTATGGCCGCATCGTTGTCGCCTTTTTGCACATCAGTATAAGGACTTCACAAGCAGCCTTTATATAAGTGGGTGGTATTCAGCTCACCAACGTCATCGAGCACCCCATCGCAGTAATTAAAGCCAGGTGTGCAGTATCCAGTCACGGCGGCATTTGCGGTGGCGATGAGTGCGAAGGCACCGAGTGCAGTGGTGAATCTCATCTTGATGGTAGAGTTGGAAGCAGGCCGAAGGAGATGAAATAGAATTGTTTGATTGTAATAGAATGTAGTCAAGCTACTTAGCTCAGAGGCTGGAATTTGATGGATATTAATAAAGAAAGAGGAGTTCTGGTGAAGCAGGAAGGGTGTATTTATATCTTCGATCATTGAGAGTGTACTGCTGTTCCCTTGATCGATGCTCCTATTGAAATCAAGAATGTTGGCCGTAGGAGCTGCACGATGACTATCCATTTCGAGCACAACTCCGCCTCTAGTAGATCCTTGTGAAACAATCTAAATCCGGTTCTTAGGTGCGTTAAGACAAGGTTGTTAGACATAAGGCAGTCAATAGTTCAGTATTTCTTTTGGTGGCAATGTGTCACATGACGGTAAATGCACCCAATCAACGCTGCAACTTTAGAACACCGTACCATCAGGGCTGAGGAGTTGCGTTCATATGTGCCCCCGATGCCTCCGGCATGCTTAGGCAAACTCCGTGACTGTCTTTAGTTTACAGAAGTGATGTTACTGACGTATGGAACCAGCATGAAGCCTGCGGGGTCATCGACCCCTCTCAGCCTTGATCGACAGTATGTTGTGACACGATGCATATTCGCCAATTACCAGGTCCACATTGTGCCCTGCTATGTATCCCAGGGTATTCAGCCCCGAGTTACTCCGAAATTCCAAGTTTCGTTCAATCGATCCTTTCAATACTCTTCGTCGTATAGTCATGCAGGTCCACAATGTGCGATGATCTGCCTTGCTCGAGCGCATATCTGACTCACCATTGCAACCAGATTATTCTTTTCCAAGTGATTTGTGCTAGTTGATACAAGCTTGTTTATTCAGAAAGGCCATGTTTTCTAGGTTCTCAGATGTCCTACTGTGACCCCGGGTCCTTTGTCAAAAGGACCCAACAGATGGTGCTTCCAAGCTCATTCATCACAGTAGTCCTTTCGCTATGCCTGGATGTTATCCAGCATATAGAAGTGCCCAGCAGCAGCGGCCTGAGACTTCGTCATAGAAAATGCAGATTTAGATGCTCACTTGTATTGGAAATTAGAAAATTAAAAGTAGTTACTGCACGTTGATCTTTGCAACATACTAAACCATAGAGCCTTGAGTGATATCAGGCTTCCTGACCAGCGCCTACATACTCAGCATCTCCTGAGCGAATTTTGTCCCTAGGTAATCAAACCCATCACAGGAAGAATCAATTATGATGAAATAAAAACGATAAGAACTAACTTCCCAGACCGGAACAAAGAGCAGCCAACCTTACTTCCGATCTCGGCCCCCCTCCTCAGTAGCAGCAGGGATATCCAATAACGGAATCGTCCCATCCTCCTTCTGTCCCGGCAGCGTAGCCTTCCGCACACCCACCTGTTGAATCCAAGCCTTAGTAGACGCAAGCACACCGGCTTGATCTGGATGAAGCCCAGTTCCAAGAATTCTACCCGGCGAGGTACGAGCAAGATAAGACCGCATCTGTCCCAGACCCGTACGGCGTGAAATAAGAAGACAGACGGTGAATCCCGCGAGTGCAAGAGAGAGAGCGAGAACAATAAACGCTGGAATGGCGTAGGGAACGTGGTATTTTATGTTCCTCGACCACAGTGTCACCGGCACGCTGACCCGTCCCGCATCTCGCTTCGCCATCCTTTTATTCTTAGAGGCTTGGCTTGGAGCATTATGCCAGCCACGCGTCCCGACAATGGTATTGGCGCTCATATCGGTCCATATAAGCCCGAGCATTTTCTCGACGCCGCTGGCGGAGGAAGATAGTTCATACCAGCGGTTGTATAGAGCTAGGTCACCGGATCCTGTGTATCGAGAGGTTGCTTCGTCGAGAGTCGTGATGTCGAAGAGGGAGAGGAGCCGCTGTGTGTAGAATAGGTTTCCGGGCATGCTTGGCTCGCCGGCTAAGGTGTCAGATGTGAGGAGGTCCGTGTAGCCGGGCAGCCAGAGGTAGTCTCTTTGCACAGTGGAGATGTCATCGCGAGCGCCGATTTCGGGTGAGACGAGGCCCCATAGAGGACGCACGTTTAGCATGGTGTGGTTCGTCAGTCGCTCGACGCCCCAGAGGGGGAGCTCGGAGGAGTCTTTGTATTTCTTTTCCTTGATGCTTTGGATGACTAGTTTGTCTAGGCCCCCGGTACCGTTGAATCGGAAGGTGACCTCGCGAACAGCCGCCTTGGTCGCCGCTGCACAGGAATAGAGCGGGGTGCTCCAGGTGCTGTTTGTGTCTGGGATGAGCGGGTCACCGTCGAGTCTTCGAGGAGCGGCGAAAATAGTACCGCAGGCTATGCCGACGAATGACATGTTTGATAGAGCCGTATCGGAAGGGTAATGACAGGCTTCACTGCCGATGGCGTAGACATCATAGGTGCTGAGGTTTAGCGGATTCTTGGACTGAGGGGTCGAGTAGTTGGTTCCCAAGTCAAAGCCGTCTTGAAGGTCAAGAAAACTACCGTACCCGGAGTCTGTTTGGACAGTCATCGGCTCGACAAAATTAGTCGAAATGTTTGCAAGACTGAACCTCTTTCCCAGCTCTGAGTGCATATACTCGAATGGTACGCGTCCATCTGATCCGTTGGTGGTCACGTTGAAGTACTGCATTATGAGCATATTGTGTCTCCATGCGGCATTGTAGGCACGTTCGTACAGTGCAGCATTCTCTTGGAAATTGGAAGCATTGATGTCGTATCTTTCATGAGGCAGGTTGACGAAACCACCGCGGTCAACAAGAGCTAGATTTCGCAGATCGGTGTTATACATGTTGTCGGTACTGAAGCTGCTAAATTGTGCCTGGGGATCGTAGTTGTAATCCACTGTTAAATTAGTGTCGACACAGCGGCTTTCAGGTTCGATGAACAGGATATCCTCTGTCCACTCAGCACCCATGGGCAGGTTTGCAGGAATAGTATGATTGCGGAAACCGATACGTCCAGCCTTGCTATCCACGATCAAACCCTCAACAGCCAACAAGTCCTCATCCAGGATCAGCTGGGAAATCTGTCGATAATATCCCTGGGAGAATACACTCCCTGTAGGGCTAGCGCCTGGTACTATTTGCGTTGATGAACGAAACGACCGCCACTGGACATCGAACACGCTGGAGACTGTCGCTGACACGTTTCCGCTCGTAAACAGGCTGATACTGCTAGGCCAAACGGAATAGGCTTCAGTGATGTCGTCCATGTCCTCCCGGTTTGGTGGTGCGCCGGGACAGCCCTCTGGAGTGTCGGGATCCTCATCTGCATAACACATGCGAAGTGATTTATATCCATCCCTACTAGGAGTTGCCTTTCCAAAGGCTGATGTATCAGGCGCGTAGTGGAAGAGAACGTCTGTGGGGTTGTCTTGGGGACCGATTGTGTCGTAAAGGCCGAGAGGGGTGACTATTCCGGTAATTGATACAAGTACAGCTGCGATCAACTGAAGCCAGGAATAGGTGAGAATTCGTTTGCTGACGCCTGTGCTGGCGGCGGTATCTGAGTCGAGTATTGTGGGCCAATATGATGAGTGAAGCAGCCGGCTGACGACTGACCTGTAGCATTATCAGTAGTATTCGATTTACGAAACAGGCCGTCAGGGAAACAATACCAAGAGACGATCGAATTTTCAGCGGGCAGATGGCCGATAACCAAGAGACAAATGACCGTTGGAATAAAGAGACGGACTTAAAGCAGTTAGCTTATGTTTAATCTACAGGACTGAGTCACCTACCCAGAAACACGCCAGCGGCAATGATACCAGAAACATATCCCACTGTGAGTTCCGCCATATTATGGGGGCTTGTTGTAGTGCTCCCCGTCTGTGCCTACCAAAATTGCAGTAGTTATAGATGTGCTGACAGAAAACTCTATAAACTCCCACGATGGGAGGAGAATCCCCTATCCTCGATATAAGGCTAAATTTTCAGCTCAGGGTCTATATATCTGTCATGCCAAGACGAAGCCATACTCAATCTCCTCTGATCGGCACGAATACGAGACCGCTGAGCCGTGTGTGGGAATGCTTCCGCACCAATAAAAATCGAATACGATTGTCGATTTGAAGGCAGACAGGCTAAAGTGTTGATCGCGCGATCAAGCGAGAGCATAAAGTGTCGGAAATGCCATTTTGCAAGTCTCGGCATTCCCTTTGACCCCTCCATACGAGCCACATCACGAACATTGCTCGACTTTATCTTCGTAAATAGGCGGACATGTGTTGATCCTCATTCAAGCGAGGTCGGATCGAGAAATTCACTGTATATCACGAGGACATCCACAAATGCGGCTCTGCAATGAGATGCCACCCCCATCCTTGAAACGAAAGTACGGAAGGGAGTGCTCCAGCACTAGGGCCAGCACTCCTGTGACTTGGAAAGTGGTCAGGTAGCATAGACCCAATATATCGCTTGACGTTGTCGAAGAATAGCGACACACCATGTCTCAGATACTGACTCGCTTGCATCAACTTATGATATGGGAAGGCTAGCCTGCTAGTGAGGCTTGCGGTGATGCTCACGCTTCTGCTCCACATAGTCGTCAGGCGATTATCGTTGTGACGTTCTGTATATGCACTATCTGTACTGTAGTTAGCTCACTGCCGAAGGGGAAGCACACTCCTATTTATAACCTCACCTTTCTGAAGACTCCAGAGACCATCAATTGCCGCCTTTATCTGACCCAGTTCATCATGCAGGTCTTTGACTAGGACGCAAAACCGTTAGCAAGTCCCATGTAACCTTAATAAAAGCGTCCCACTTACTCAGATCTGTCACATGCACAGAATTCTCCTGCTGCGGCACCTCTTCCGGTGGAATCTGCAAAATCAAAGCCTTCGCATAGCTGCAAGCAGCAGCAATAGCCCGCGGCCTCCACGCATCATACTTATGCGAATCCGCATAGCCCGCAATGCCCTTGACAACCAAACAAGGCAAAATATTCATAACCCCAGCTGATCCACACTCAAAACACAATATCGACCTCCCATATTCCCCGTTCAACCTATCCCGAAGTTCGGCATTCATAACCAAGCCATCCCCCGAAGCAATCGTACCCAAATGCACACCTGGCAAATCACTAGTCCTCCGCCTCTTAAACACCTCGCCCACAGGATTACAGGCTTCACAGCCAGTATATCCCGGGATATTGCGATGCGAATAATCAGAGCAGAACAACCTATCCCGCAGCCCGGCAGGATACGCATACTTCTCCCCCAGCGACGCCAAGATATCAGCCGTCATATTCCCTTGATCACCCACATTCTTCCTCGAAAGACACCCCAAAAGCGTAACATTCGCCAACAACTTTCCCGGCGGTGCATTGATATGCTCCCGATGAATGTACCTCCCATCACCTCCAACCTTACCGTAATCATATTGCACAACACCCCCACACCCACCCCCCGGAACACTAACCACCACATCCCCCAGCCTGATATCCCTCCCGAACCCTGGAACACCACCCCCAATACCAACAAGAAACCCATACTTCACCGACCGGAAAGTCTGACACAAGTTCTCCGCTACGATTGCGGCGGCAGTTGTCCCCATACGGCCTTCAGGGAGACAGACCAGAACGACATTATGCGCACCTATTCTGCCTAGTAGATAGGCATTCTTGTCTTAGAGTCGCTGGTTCTGCGGTATTCCATGGATTTCATCGAGGATTGCGATTGCAACGTCATATTCTTCCGGGAGGGCGCAGATCCAGGAGAGGGTGTAGGAGGTGTTGGGGTGCGGGGAGATCAATTTTGTTTCATTCAGTAGTGCCTTATTTCAGATGGTGGTCTTGGAGTAGTGATTTTAGTTTTGAGTGATAGAAAATTGGAAGGAGATGGGCCGGTGCTGTGCTGGATTTGTTGGGTAGCTTGTCATCAGGCTACGTCTTTAATGCCTCTATAGGCGCCGCAAGGCTGAGAGGGGTTCGCATATTAAATGACTGCACCCTCGAGTCGCGTAGGGATAGCTTGTTAGTAGGATTCGGTAATAGCTGGGCGCGTATTTTTTGGCTATCATTTCTCATGTGTCATGTGTCGTGTTTCACAAGGTGGATGTCTGAAACTGGCTGGCGCTAAGGAGATACGTCGACAGCGGATGTTGTAGAAGCTTCGCAAAGGACGTTGTAGTCTGGATATTCACCTATGAATAGCACTAGCACTAATAGTTCGCGAAAACCGGATTCTGAAATGGGAATTCAAGTTGCGATCTCGTTCTTGGTGGTGATCAGAATAAATGAGTATCACTCTCGCACTGCATGGTTAGCGACAAAGCTGATCATTGCTGAAGGGGAAGTCACTTCCGTTTCTCAGCCTAGTCTCTTTTGATTGAGTCTGGCACAACGAGAAGAGTGACTCGAACTTAAACATCTCTATTATTATTTATTTTTTTTTTTACCTCCAATTGAGCTAGCGTGCTGTAGGACTCCGATGTCATGGCTTAGTGTAATATAATTATCAATTCCGTAGATTTTATAAATTCTATCTGTTTGGGGGTACCCCAGCTTTGAGGTCCATAGGGGTTCGGTGGCAGGCGCTGGCCTGAAGAGCCAAGTTTTGTATCATCCACTGCAATGAGCGTTGAAAAAAATGGAATTCCCAAAAATCTATGCATCGAGCATCCTACAAAGCTGGCGCCCCATCCAGCTTGAAATAACCCGGTTGCAGATTCTGGAACACCTGCAAAGGATCGTACTTCTTCGAGATCGCTTGCAAGCGAGCCTGGTTTGCCGTGCCGTAAGAGGGCACGACGGACTGGTACTGACTCGCGTAGTTCATGTAAAGATAGCGACTTCCCAGACCGCGAGCCTTCGCTGCTGAAAGCGCCTTTTGGGTCACTCTGCCCAGAACAGCCATGACTGCAGCGTCATCAGCCTCATCATCCCACATGAAAGCAAGGTTGATCAGCAGCAAGGGCCCGTCTTCCGGATCGAGTCCTAGCGCGTTACCCCCATTCTTGGCCATGTGCTCCATGGTGTTAGTGCTGATTACTTGCCAAACGAGAGCGGGGACAAGGCCGGTCACGTTCTGAATAGGAACGAGTTCCTGCTTGAACATGTTGGTGATGTTGGTCGCCAGCTCATAGTCGAGCTGGACAGTGCCTGTCCAATAGCTCTCGCGCAGTCCGTTGGGATTGGATTCTTTGAACAAGAGGGTAATATTGGACAGACTACGGATGGCCATGGTGTCCTCGAGAACTCCTGAGCTGCTGAAGTTCTCGAAGATAGGAGGATTGGCCACCGGTTTTGCGTACTCCAAGTCTGCGACCAGCAGGTAGAGACCCTCAGCGTAGGCCACCGACACGATCAGTGCCCCGTTGGGGTCCGACGGCGAGTTGAACCCAAAGTCCACAAGCGCATGGAGAATGTCGGATTGATACTCTTCCAGCCAAATGCGTGAGCCTCCCCACATGAGGCCCTGAGTGTGCGTTGTCAGGTCGAAGCGGGTAACGATGCCAAAGTTATTGCCACCACCCCGCAGGGCCCAGTAAAGGTCGGGATGAGTGTCAGGGTTGACATCAACAATGCTACCGTCGGCCAGAACAACCTAGAATAATATTGTCAGATACAGAAGCACTATTCACAAGCAATGTAGGTTTTTATACCTCGTAATTGGCAACATTGTCACAGGCCCAGCCGTGAAACCCGGAGAAGAAGGAGATACCTCCTGGATACCTTGTTAGCTTACATTCTCCTTGCCTCTGGTTGATCTGTCACATACCTCCCAGCGTCAGGCCGCCCACGCCAATGTCGGACACACGACCACCAATGACCGATAAGCCCATGGGATCTAGCCAATCATAGACATCCAACCAGCGGTTACCCGCACCGACGGACGCAATAGTGGAATTCCTGGACAAGGCCGTAGAGTTCAGCCCGACCAGATCTATCGTCAAGCCATCCTGGATGTTGGAGGCGCCGGCAAAAGCGGCATGGCCGCCACTCTTGACAGCAAATGGACACAGCGTCAGCTCTGACAGCAGCAGGCCGACAGCGACTTCCACTGCACTGGCTGGTTGGAAAACGCAGGCTGGATCGACATCCTCCTGCTGCTGCGACCAGAAGCTTGCATCCCAAGTCGAGTAAGCCGTAGTCGAGCGTTGCAACACGTGGCCTGGATAGAGCCGGGGAAGTGCGGAACACTGGTCGGATTAGTGAAATTGTCAATTTGGTGCTTATGCGTTAGCCCGACGACTAGACAGGGTTCGGGTGCCATCGTCCGGTTTTAGCACGCAGGAAGACGGGAAGTAACTCACCAGCTCGGAGCAAAATCCCAACGACCGCGTGCTCAATGACGAGTCCAGCAGCACGCTGGAGTTGAAATACTCATAGGCATCAACTCCGTAGGATGCCAATTTAGCGACAATGCGACTGGTTGTGTTGTCCAGCGCTGTCGCTCTGGCCAGAAGCGTAGCGATGAACAGCGCGCCGGGCCGCATGGTGCTTGGCAGGAACAGGATGGAGATAAGGGTTGGAGCAGGAGTCGTAGAGGTTTCAGGAGGCGTTGACTTACTGCAGGGGGCTCATTCCTTTATAGGCCATCCTGGTGGCTTCCCTAAAACAAGGCGCTATACCGCCGGCTTTTCCTTAGCGGCCGTCCGGCTCGCTTGATGACGGATGACATCCAGATTAGCCGTATCCGTGAAATTAACACTTGCTAATGCATCCTGTTGCCCGCCGCAGGATGCTTACCACCCGGGCTGTCGGCAGAATATGAAAAGGGATGTCTGCCGTTAAGCGACTTAGACATCGCTGGCGATCACTCCACCAGTCCGGATGGAAAGAAATTATGTCTCAGCTAGCCAGGTGCAGGCCACTGGCTATACCATGATCGCCTTGTCGTCGGCGGTGGTCATTGCTCGGTTTAGCTTGATCTTCTGGAAATTACGGTCGCTGCAGGTCGAGGATGGCTGCATACTGCTGTCGTGGGCCTGCTTCCTGGCCATGAGCATTGCGTACATAATCGTCACCCCGGTTGTGTACAAAATCGATGCATATACGGATGGTAAGATCGGTCCCTGGGCGACTATGTTATCCGACGCACTTTTCATGATCAAGGTCTTCTTTGCGAATACCATGCTATTATGGGGGGCGCTGTGGTCCGTCAAGCTATACTTTCTCTTCCTCTATCGCCGACTTCTCCAGGACCTGCCGGGTGAGATGAAGTGGTGGTATGCGGTACTGTGTTTCTGCATCGTGGTGCGTCCATGATTCGACCTATTGCGGGAAATGTTCAGCTGACAGTTGTGTGGACCTTTATCGGGGCAATTGTATCTAATTTTACCTCATGTCAAAGTATGCATGCATGGTTCACCGTTGGTCAGTGCTCCGTGTCCCCTGCGTGTGTGGGTACTGACAGCTGCGAAGGGGAGTGCAGTACACATCGAGACGCTGTGGCAGAGATTGCCAGTTTGTATTATAGTTTTGCGGTCGACGCTATCAGCGATATAATGAGTAAGTTCCTGTTTCGAAGTATACTGAAGGTGTATGACTGAAGTGAATAAGTCATGGTGCTGCCGTTGCGACTGGTAGTGTCGCTGCGCCTTCCACTGGGCCAGAAGATCAGTGTTGCTGCTGTGTTTGCCTTGGGCACCATCTGCGTGAGCATGGCGGTTGTACGAGTCATCCAAATCGGCACTCGAGCCAACAACGACAGCACCCCAAGTAGTTCTTGGCTGGCATTCTGGGGCATGATCGAGGCGGGGATAGGTGTGATTCTCCCTCTTCTTCTCTTTGCTATTCTAACCTTCATTGCTAGCTGTCATTGTCGGCTGTCTTCCAGCTTTCGCGATCATCTACCGCCGCACTAAGAACACCCATCGCTACCGAAGCAGCTATGTCGGCATGTCCTCGTCAGTTTACGTGCCACAGGACGATGTCGCCTTATCGGAACTTGCTACACGTGGAGAGAATACTGGCACGGGCGAGACAGGCTTGAAAGCATTCAACACTACGCCGGAACTGCCAATGGAACTATCTGGCGAGGAGTGAGGTGTCCAATAATATAGATGTTTATGTGTTTACGAGAAAAAATTATTTATGCCTTAACATTCAATGATCAACGCTTCAATATTACATTGCATGTCTGAGCGGCTACTGATTATCAATTCTACGAAGGACCACTGACAGCTAGTAAGCACTACTGCAACTAGCGTTGATAGCGACAAGATCGATAAATGACACTTCCAGGCACGACACAACATAAATAGCATGACCCCTCTTCAAACAAAGCACTTTACCTTTTTCCATTTCCTCTTACCCCCTCCATACATCTCCATACCAACCTCACCACCATCATGTCCCCAATCCCCAGCTACTCCCGCCCCGGCCGCGGCCAACACTTCCAAGAAGCCTACGGCTTCGCCGAAGCCTGTATAGCCGGAGACCGAATGGAAATAGCCGGCCAGAGTGAGCCCTCCCCCCCTCCCCCAGCCCCATTCCATTCCTCTCACATCACCAACTAACTATCCACCCTTCCCTCGGGAATCAGCCGGCATGTCCCCCACATCCACCGAAGTGCCCCCCACACTCGAAGAAGAAGTCGCCCAAGCATTCACCAACATCAACGAAGTCATCCTCTACACACTAGAAAAAGCCAAGCCCGATCTACGCGCTAGCGTGAAATCCGGCTGGGACCGCGTCGTGAAGATCCGCACGTACCATGTCCAGTTGCCCCAGACCCGAGAGAAGATTATTAACCTGATGGTGGAGAATGTTAAGAAGTGGTGTCCCGATCATCAGCCTACTTGGACTATGTTGGGGATTGAGGCGTTGCCGTTTGAAGGGCAGAATTTGGAGATTGAGGTGGATGTTTTTTTGGGGTAAAAGAAATGATTGGGGATGGGGTTGATTTATAGGCTGTGGAGGTATACCTCGTGAGAAGTCATGGATCCGATATGTATAGATGCAGTAGACTGGCTTCTTCCAAGAATACTTACACGTTCCTCGATTAGTTGACCATATGCATTCTCGATCAACATCTTGGTCAGTTCGGAACCTCTTTCGGAAGTACCCGTAAATTCCCGATTGGGAACATATCATTCTTCTCGAACGCCGTCGGCACTTTGGTGCACTTGGACCCCCTAACTTTGAAAACCCATGCATTTCTCAGACTTTGGTAGAACATGTATGCGCCAAATCAGCGCAGGAAGGGATTTCAGGGAATCAGGGAGATGTGGGGCTGGGGTTTGGGCGAATTTTCTGTCTGGATGGACTACGTTTCTTAAAGTATAGTCTGTCTGTAGGATAAGTGCGGTGGATAGCGGGTAGGAGGGAGTTTAAACTTGCTGTTGTTGGTGCATCGCTTATATGAGCATAGTAGAGGTATTTCTACACACATAATTAACAGAGCATACGTCGTCGGCCACAAACAAGCACCAGAAGCACTCTCTAAGCTTATGACTCCGGCTGCCTATTAAGGAACTACATCAGTTCATTGCACGAACACTATTCAAGTACTATCCGACCAGACTCCACCTATCCTAGCATCCGAGTCAGACTTGCTTTTCTAGTGAAAGACGCCATCACGTAGAATACAATCTCCACGAAAGAGACCTGAACAAAATAATTAACCGTAAATTTGAAGCATAAAAAGGAACCAGAACCAGGTCCGTAAATAGAAATCCGCTTTCATATGTGAACAAACACGCGTATCAATCCCCAGGCACAGAAGCCTATCATTAAAGGTGATCACATGGTGTATTCATGGATCGCAGAAGGGCCATTCTCGTTGTACTCCACCCGGCTCATGAAACCCTTGCTGACGCCTTGGTCGATCACGAAAACAACCTTCGATGCAACCTGTGCTCCGAGGAACACAGCCTCTTCCATACCGTGGCCACCGCTTGGGGCACCAGGCCCTCCCGTGGTAGCAGCGCCAGGGGCATTGGTGTTGCTCTGCTCCTTCCACTCGGGGAAGTATTCCGGGGGTCTCAAAGTCTTGACCGATGTGGGGGTTTGAGAATGTCCCGTCGAGCGGTGATGCGACATGGCAGGGTCCATGGAGGGAGTGCCGGGCATGGGGTTGTTGGCATGGGTGGCTGCGACGAGCAGAGGATTCACACCGTGACCCGCAGGGTGATTCATCGGACCAGCCTGGCCGGAAGGTGCCGGAGTGTTGGTTCCTCCGGTGGGAAGGGGAGTAGAGAAGTTGGAGGGGATTTCAGAGGTGAACATGGTGGCGGATGGGGAGAGAATGTACTTCTGGGTGATTGTGCCCAGCAGGGATTGTGTGAAGCCTATAAGTAGAATGTCAATAAATATCCTCATGCTGATGGGGTCCGGCTACATACCCTTGATTTTGCTGCCATTGCCGACTACAATGAGCGAGTCCCAAAGTTCACTCCGCTTCGTCGCATCAGGCACTGCAAGGATAGTGTGGTGGATCTGAGTCGCAATATCCTCGAGCAGGCCGCCGGTGAGACGGTCTCCAGAATTCTGCTTGGGAGTTGCGGCGAGGAAGCGCTCAACACCGACCTCGATCTCGCGAGACTGACGCATATACCGCCCGGGCCCATTGGGCGTATCCTTCTCAGGTTCTATCCTCACGTACTCCTCAAACTGGAATGAAGCCTTTTCTTTCTTGGAGTTGGGAAGACGGAGGGGCTTGCCGGATTGATCTGTCGCGCCCTTCTTGGTGGAGGCCTTCTCGGCCTTCTCTTTCTCCCGATTGGCGAGGAACTCACTCGTGTTACCACTGACAATGGCTGCGACATCCAAAACTCCCTCATCTTCGTCGCCCTCGCCGTTGCCTTCACCACCGGTCTGGGTGCCTTCACCCGGACCGCGTGGGATGTTTTCATTCGGTGCATTGCCATCCTTGGTCCCAGTTGAGGCCGAAGCGGCTGGGTTAGCGCCCTGTCGCGCGGTTGCAGCGGCACCAGGAAGAGGTGTGCCCGGGGGCAAGAGCTCAGTGATATTGCTGCGCTTCAACTGTTCGCACATCTCCCTTGTAAATCCCTTCGGGCCCAAAAGCTCCACAATCCTGTCCGTCATGTGGTCACCACCGCAGCCTTCCAGCGCGATACCTCTTCCATGCTCGTTAACAAGGAAGTCAGTGACGGCAGTGACATTGACCTTATCCTTGCCAACATCAACCACCGTAGCCGTCGAGGTACCGTATCCGTAGCATACAGCGAGAGCGGAGTCCATGAGGCAGAAGGCGGGCGTCTTGAACTTTTCAAAGACAAACTGTGTGATCGTCTCGCGGTCGCGGGCAGACCATGCCGGTTCGGAGATCAGCATGATCGGGGTGTGGAAGGGCGGACTCAGAGTGTTGTAAACGTGAGTCAAAAGGGCAAAGAAGCATGGCCAGTCGACAATGCGACCACTCTGAATTGGATAGACAGCCCCCTCATCGGAGGTTACATCCTCCTCGTAGAAGATCTCGGTTGTCGTTCCTTGCTTCTCCTCTCCGTTGGCATCCTGGCTCTCGGTCTTTTGCGCATTTTCGGGCTGTTCGGAGGATTCATTCTCGGTCTTCACGGCTCCGTCTTGCTGCGCCGACTCCGCATCCTTCATCTCCACGTCCTCCTTGGGCGCGTCGGTGCCATTGCCATTGCTGACGGGGACTTCCTGTCGTCGCTCGCGGATCTTGTATGGTTCGTATTCGCCCTTCTTTTCGGCGGGAAACATGCGCGTAGGGAAGCGAAAGCGGGCAGGGGTGAATGACTCTGGGAGACCCAGTTGCGCCAGGGTCACTTGCGAGCCTGGCGCAATTATCTGGGGAGGAGGGGGTCAGTTTGAGTCGGCCAGCAGGGGGTAAGTCAATGATTGGTGCACTAGGAGAAATCTGCACGTACCAAGATATGCTCATCTTTGAAGGGCGGCATCCTGGACAGTCGGAGGGTGAGGAGAGCTGGAACTGTCGCAGTAGCAACCTATTGCTCCGCGGTGTTTGCACCAGCGATCTTTGCGCGCTCGAGGTTGGGCGGATGGCCTAATCGGGTTTAGTGCGCCGCGGTCGCGGCCCGTGCTTTTGACCGCGGTCTGAAATCTACTGCTACACACTCATTCCTCTATGATCAACCTACGTTTCGGTTTAATAGATTCCAACGAACACTACTATATGATGTATCGCAAACTTGAAGCCTGAAACGGTATTAATCCTAAGTCTTGGAGCTGTAGGGCCCGAAGACCCTCCACCTTGTGTTGAGGTAACCTTAACCCCGTGCAGAACTCACAGCTGCAACAAAATGTCCGTCTTTGTCGACGTTTGTTATCTTACAGATAGATTGAATTATGTTACTTATTATCGACGTGTACCATCAAGCAGTGCTGCGGGGCTCAAAGATGAGCATACTGCCATTCCACCCTCGTGGAATGGGTTGGCCGGCGGGCGACGAGTAGCAGTAGGTCGAACTTGAACTCCAGACTGAGTTTGATATCCCTATGTCCGTGGAAATAGACAGAGATGATTGTAGAAGCTCCAACCACTCCCCGTTTGAAGGACAGGGGAAGGCCATGCAGATCAGAGCGTCAATACAACTGGCAGAGAAAAGGCAGCAAGTGGATGGAGGGGGATTCTCCGTGCAGGGGTATTAGGTGTGTACAGTTCACCTCCTTTATCCACTAACCACACCATCTATGCGTTTTGTATTTTTACTGCTGGTCAGTCGCCTTCTATTGAGGCTGGCATTGGTTTCTTCAAAGCAGTCGAGCCTGAGCTCATCAACTTCATTTCGTGTTATGCTGGTATTCTTGACAACTTGATAGGGGTTGTGGAAAGCACCACCTCGATCATGGATGCTATTTGAATAGCATGCCCCGGAGTGACACGTCATCTGACAGCCACTCCTGGTATGGGGACAAAAATTCCCTCAGAAAAAGCAATGTTTGCCGCTGATGCCAATTGTCAGTGGGCGAAAGAAACGAGACAGTCCTATCGACCTACTTAGCGCGTGAACCCCGCGTGCGGCTGAGCCAACACACAATCGATCGCGCCCGACAGCTGGGTTTAAACACCGGGACATGCCCTCCCGGGGCAACTGGAGTCTAACACCTGCTATGCAATGGCCAAGTTATGGTCAACGTGCGGAGCAAATATGCATCGGTTGAAAGAAAAAATTTCACGCCGGTTGCATCATTTTCGACATGAAGAGCCCGCTGGCGACAATCAGTTCACATCACCGGACTGCAAGCGAAGTGACCCCATTAGACCTGCAAAGAAGCCCCTACGGAAGAGGAGTGGGCCTGTGTCGAGTGAGGTATCAATTACGAACAGGAATCAGCACGCAGAAGCTGTACCTCGAAGCCCGACAGAGAAAAAAAGGTGGCTTTTAACCAGCGACACCCTGGGTGAGGTCAGCAGTGTCAAAGGTGAAAATAAAATCCCCCATTCCAGCTTGCCCGAATTTCCGAAAGAGCTGGACAGCGACGAGGGAGTATCTCGAAATTTCTGGAAGGAAGCATTTGAGAAGCTCTCTCCGGACACACAAGATGGTCTTCGAAAACGGGGTTATGAACCGAGTTTGAACACAAATCCAGGAGATCTGGACAATCTGCTCAACGATCTCCGAAAGAAGGTGGAGCTCTGTGATAAGAAAAGGTGGGTATACAAAGGTAAATTCGTGCGAGACTACGCGGCCAAATGCGCGACGTTAGTTCAAGGCATCGGGGATCTTGTCGTTCCGTTCGCACCATCACAAGCTGCAGGGCCGTGGGGGTTAATAAAAGTGGCTTTGAAGGTAGGTTGTGTCGACATAACATAACTCTTTAAGTTGGACGCGCCTGTAGTGCTTAGGCTTGCGAGATGCCTCCAAGCAATGAGGAGTCTTCGATGGCGTGGTCCATATGATACTATATCAAGGCAGTTTCCTGATTGAAAGTGTATAGGTCCCTATAGAGTATGATAGTACAATGTTTGCCTTGCTTGGGACCGTAGACCGGGTTCTACATGCCATTATTCGTGGCAGACAATATGAGTCCGCCTATGGAACCGAAAACAGTGATATTGTCGACACCCTACGCGGAGACCTGGTAAATGTTTACTGGGCTGTCTTGAAATTGTTGAGCTACAGCATTGAGAGGCTGTCAGAACCGACTGGGGCAAGAATCCTGGCCACGATGCTCGACAACGGCTCGGGACATTTCTCGGATCTGACAGCGAAAGAAAAAGAGCTCGCTGATACTGCTCGGGCATGCAGTGCAGCGCAAGGTGAAAAGGCAACACAGCACCTACAGGACATCCAAGGGCACCTACCCCGCATAGAGACCCAAGTTGTCGAGTGCCTGGCGAAGCTTGGACAACGAGAGGCTATCGACATCTTGGACTGGGCTTCCACTGTTAAACATAAGGCTCATCATGATAATGTGCGCAACAATCGGACACCAGGCACGGGTGACTGGCTGTTACGAAAAGTTGAATTCCGAGATTGGGAAGAGAGCAGTTCTTCGGCAGTATTATGGTTGCGAGGATCTCGTGAGTTTCCCTCATTCCCAGTGTTTACCACTCTTTTCTCCCCGTCTGTATGGACTCGGCGCTGACGCCGTCAAGCGGGCGTAGGGAAAACCTTCCTTACTTCGAGAGTTATCGATCACATCCAAGATAACTTAGCAAGAACGCCCAACGACGAAGGTTTTGCCTATTTCTACTGCAACCGCAACGAGGACACTCGAACACGACCCCTTGCCGTAGCGCGGAGCTACGTGCGTCAGCTATCATCTCCCGCCAGTAAGACCAAATCAAGCAAGACCAATTCGTGGCACATACAATCTGCACTTCAATCCACTTACGAGGAATTACGTATGAAAGGTGCAGATCTTGACATGAAGTGCTGCACGGAATTAATTACAGAATCCCTGAACCTCTATCCTCGTACCACATTGGTGTTGGATGCTTTCGACGAATGTGACCCTAGTTCGCGTGGTAAACTCCTTGAGCTTTTCGAGAAATTGCTCTCTAGCAGTATAAGGCCGGCCAAACTATTCATTGCAAGCCGTCCTGATGCGGATGTTCAACAGGAAGTTCGCTCGCATCCAAACATCGAGGTTCGGGCGACCGATAACCAGCATGATATTCAGGCCTACATCAACCAAGAGATGCTAACGCTGATCAAAAAGGACAGCGTATTCTGCGATCTCCAGGAGAAAATCAAGTCAACTTTGTCAGCGAAAAGTCAAGGAATGTAAGGACATGCTTCTCTTGTTCGGTGAAGGTCTATGAAGTTTGCTAATGATGTTGTTAGGTTTCAATGGACCTACCTGCAACTCAAACAGCTCGAGAGATGCATCTCTCCCGAAGCTATACTGGAGTGTCTGGAGACACTCCCCGAAACTATCGACGATACGTACGAAGTACTCCTGGAGGAAATAGAGAAGAAGCCTTCCCACGACCGAGATCTCGCGCTACGCGCTTTGAAGTGGGTTCTAGCCGCACGAGAACCGCTTTCACGTGGAGATCTTCTCGAGGCAGTCCGCATTAACCCTGACAGTGAAACGTTAGAGTTGTGTAACCCGGTTAGCGACGATGCATTGTTGGCATTGTGTCGCAATTTCCTGGTCATCGATTCTGAGCGGGACGTATGGAGAATATCACATTTATCGGTCGCTGAGTATTTCGAGCTACGTCGCAGCTGGACTACTGCAATCACCGACTTGATGGTTGGCAAAGCGTGTTTGCTATTTATGAGCGATACCTGTTCGGATGACACCATGTTCAATCCTGATGCCAGAGGTTCCGACAGCAAGCCTGCAAAATCCTACTTCACACGACCATTTCTCTACTACGTCTTCTGTTTTTGGCCGGAACATATCGCTACCTTACACCCTGCCAGCGTTCCGGAAGAGGACCTGTCTTTTGTCGTGGGACTCCTGGAGAAGTTTCTCGGTGCTCCGCAGGATAGCAGCGCGCGATACCGGGCTTGGGCCCGGTGCTTTAATAAACCATTACGGCCTGTCCAATACTCTATTCTGGCTGTGTGTCGATACGGACTCCCAGTATCGGACCGATGGTGGAATAGGGGCGAGCTAGATATGACCTGTACTAATGATGAGGGTGATACCTGCATGCTTCTAGCTGCAATGATTGGCCACATCCCAATTATGCGTATTCTTCTGGCGAAAGGTGGCACTCTTGGCCCACAAGGTAAATTCTATCCTTGGACACCACTGATTGAGGCTGTCTCTGGTGGACATATCATCATGGCCAGATTTTTATTGGAAGATAAGGAAGTAGATGTTAATTTTGAAATAGGAAGCTATTGGGCATTAGAATCGGCACTCTACAGAGAAGACTCCGATACGTTGCGTTTCTTGGCCTGCGAAGCCCACGTAGACGTCAACATAAATTTTCGATACGAATTCTGGCGTTGTGTACTGATCGCTGCAGCGAATATGAATTGGTTGGAGGGCGTGAAAATTTTAGTGGAACAGTGCGGAGCGGATATTAGTCTGGTTCGGTACCCCGGGGCTTATGGCATGACCCTGAGACGTTTTGTTCCATTTATCGGTTACCCTGAAGCAGAGGCAGCGGAGTATTTGGTAAAAGCTCAGCAAGCCAATGTGAGTGTGTCCATTCGGGCCGGTCATTACGGAAATTTGTCGTTGGCCGCGGGCTTTGCAGATGTTCAATGTGTCCAGTACTTTCTCGAGGTCGAAAGGTTTAATGTCAATAAACCTGTCCGGTCTTTCAAGAATCATAATTATTATACAGCATTGGATGTTGTGGCACTTTATGTGAGGAAAACAGTCACTGTGGGCCGGTATGGCTACGTTGAGTTGAGGGAGATTGTCCGAATTCTACTCGCAGCAGGAGCCTTGGTTGTCCTAGATGTGAGAGACGGTGAGATTGTGGATGCACTTGAAGTATTGCATCGGGGTCGTCAGAGCAGACCGAGGCGTGAGAGTGCAGATGATGACAGTGATTCCAGCAGGGATATCAATGGCGATGATGAGGCTGAAGATGGTTTATTCGACGACGACGATGCAGATGACGAACATGCCAAGCAAGTCAAAGCATACGCGAGGGACACGTTTGCTGATCTGCAGAGGGCGATGCGGCAGCAATATGAAAGTGGCGCACTTGGTGTAGAAGAAACCAAATATGTGGAAGCTGTGTACTACGGTCAAGCGAAGGCACAAACATCCTAAACAGAATTTCTTATGGATATGCTTGGTTGCAGGCTAGACGAGATAGAATTGCACTTTGGGGTCATATCAGTGCTCAGTAGCTTCCTCTTTATGAATGACTGTAGGAAAGACAAATGATCAAACCAAATTATTCTATCTCTCTTTTCGTATTGCTGCGTTTGAAAGCACGGCCGCAGAGTCCTAAGCATTCACTCATTCCGATAGATGAAGATCCCGCCACATATACCTTCCAGTAACACATCGTTTGACGTACTCTACATCTAGTCGAGGTTATAGAAACGCAAAGCATCACTTACATTCTTTAAAGCACGCTGTATCAGTTCCGGTGATGTTCCTTTTCTCTATAAGAGTTCAACCCACACATTAGAATACAAACAAAGACATGGTGATCAGTGAGAGTAAAGCAACCACTTCAACTCGCCCAAAACCAGCAACCCCCCAACAACTCCCAACACAATCTCAATAGCAATTGCTTGAAAAACAATCTTAAAGTACCGAACCCTCGCGGACAACTCAAACGTCCCCCATGCATCCACAATATCCAGTCTCTCACCCCCACCCCCCATCTTCACCTTACCGCCAAACTGCCGATCAAAGGGCACAATGGGATCAAGTCCCTCAGGCAACATCGAAGCCGCCACACGAGTGAATATCGCATTAACAGGTACAGTGAGTAAGAAAAAGAACATAAACAAGAGAACAACACCAAATCCTCCCTCTCCCTTTCCACCACTCGATCCCTCCCCACCAAGAATACCCACAATAACCCACCCAACAGCCCTAGAGACAGCCAAATTCAGCGAAGAAGTCACAGACATGACAGCACTATGCAGCACTGCAACAGGAGCAATCCGTCTCCAATGCTGATACCCTAGCATGCGTCGATAGCCGACGAAAGGCGATTTATCTGCGATGACTACATGAACCCATGCCATTTGCCATCTAGCGAGGAACATCCTGCCCATAAAATTGGCTAGAATTGAGGCGAGGGTCATGTGGATGGGAATGGGGATGAAGGCGGGTATTAAGAGGGCTAAGACCATATCTAGCGAGATGAAGGCGAGATACATGCGGAATCCGCGGAAGGTGGAGAAAATACCGCCGCCACCGAGGGTGAAGAGGTAGTTGATGGATGTGCGGAGGTCGCTGGTTATTGGTTTCGAGACTGGGGTGGTGGTAAATTCGGGATCATTGGAGTTGGTGGCTTGGTTGTCGAGACGGATGTAGGGGGGTGGGTCGGAGTTAGGGTCTTCGATCGCAGCTAGGGCTCCGATGACTTGGGAGGTGTAGGCGACCTGTTCTCTTTCATGAGTATAGTACTTGTTGTTATTTATTGACTATTCCCTCACCCAGAAAGTTGCAAGGAAGAAAGCAAAAACAGTGAAGAAGATGAGAAAGATGCCTATCCATTCTTTCACCAGAGGGTCTTGACCGGGTTGAAGCCGAGCTGATAACACTTCCGTGCCTCGGCGTATGAGAGTAGCGCTAACAGATGACATGTTTGCTCGTTAAGATAAAAAAAAAAAAAAAAAAAAAAAAAAAAAAAAAAAAAATTAAAAAAAAAAAAAAAAAAAAAAAAAAAAAAAATAAAAACATATTGCAAAAGTAAGCGCGGACGAGAGACATAGGAATCTGATATAAATCGCCACTTTTATTCGAAGCTAAAATGTCTCAGATGCAAACCATGAAAAGTGCAGGGATCTCACCTGATTCTTCCTCGCCAAGGCCGTAGTGCGGGGCGTTTATGATAAGCGAACATTTTGTCTCACTTATGGTGCTCTCTAATTCTGTTTGAAAGAAGTTCTTAGTAAGGTCAGTGAGTGTAGGGCACAAATTCCCCAAAGGGAAGAAAACAAGACACTGTAGGTGCTTCGCAGTTGTATATGAAGTTAGTATGAAGATCGATGTCAGTGCGCTGGGCTCCACTTTTCCACCCGATGAAGCATCTTGCTTGGCCAATGCCGTAACAGAGCAAAAGAGGTAAATATATCCTACTTCAATACAGTTTGATTTTGAAGAGAATACTTCCTCATTATTATGGCAACTCACTAATACAGCTTTATCTTAAATACCCATTCATCGCCAGCGCAAACCACACAGCTACACTATACACGTTCCTCCAGATGAATCAAAATCAAGGATAAACCGTCTCGTAACCATCATCGCTGCCATCATCAGTCTCATACCAAGTGATGTTATCAAAGTACAGCGTTCTAGTCGCATCAGTGTAGGCGTCGGTATCTAGGAAATCCAGTTAGCAAGAGTAACAACCTCAACCCTAATTCATCTGATCAAACAACTCACCAATACAATACTCCCCATTCTTAAAGTACCACCCGGTAGTCAACGCATCATCATCGTCCCAAGTCCCAAAACCCACATCAATATCCGACACACTGTAAACCTGCTCCCCATCCCACCAAACCTCATAAGCGCCATCACTCTCCTCCGACACGCGCATATGCACCACGACACTATGCCACGCATCTCTCTCAATATCATCCACAATCGTCGCCGTAGTACCAGTAGAGCAAGCAGCACGGTGCGTAGTCTGCAGAGTATTGTTCACGATCTCGACGGTGCCACACCACGAGGAGCAGCCTCCGGGGCAGAATTGCTGGGCGATGATGGCGCTCTTGTCCGTGGGGTAGGTGACCGAGGGCACATAGATAGAGAAGCCCTGCCAGCCTTCCTTGGTCATTTGGGCCACATTGGTGGTGGTGTCGTTCTCAAAGACGCAGATCTCGGCGCCTTTGCGGTCGCGCGTGCCGTCGTAGTAGGACTCGTCGAAATAGACGGTGAGGTTGCCGTCTGTGGCGGTGGAGTAGGATGGGGATTCTACATTGCAGGCGGAGAAGGGGGATAGCCCGGAGGTGAAGTTGCTGTGATAGATGGTACCTGCGGAGGCGAGGTGGTGGAAGAGAGGGAGGGAGAGAAGGGAAAGAAGGGACATCATGTTGAAGTGTTGTGCAGCTTGGGATGATGTTGAGAAGGGAGGATGTGGTGGTGATACAGGCTACTTTATATATTTTGTATTTACTACCCTGAATCAATTGAGTTTGATATCTATATTAAATTAGGGTTGTCTTGTGCTTGTTCTTCAGGGGCATCGGCAAATGAAGCAACCGTTCTTCCTGCTCCCCACCTGATCCACCTTCTTCCCGTCTTCTCGGGAAGAACGCGTATGCCACTTAATTTATGCACACCGGCGCATTTTCCGGCTGTTCCCCGCATAGATATTGACTACATTCCTTAGCTTAGTTAATGGATCGGTCCCTGTCCGGCACTTAGCCCGAGGTCTAATCTAATCATTGATCATGAGATGAAAGCTAGTAATATGAACAACATGCCACCACCAAGACTTCAACTTTACTACTATCAAACAATCCGATCATGCATATTCTCAAGCTATGCCTTGCGGTGGCCACCGCTACTCACGTCCACGGGCTGATCCAAGATGTCCCCAGTCTAAACGGTACGAGCTAGAAGTCAACCCTCAACATCCCCACTAACATGCTTATCCACACCAGGGCCCGTAATGATGGTCCCCGACACACCCGGCTCCAAAAACAGAACAAATCAATTCCAACATCCAGGCCTTTGGCATAGCCATGACCAGCTCGAGCTCATGCGAACAAATGTCCTCAACGGTGTCGAGCCCTGGGCATCTGCATACACGCGATTCGCCCAAGATCCCTACTCCAACGCCTCTTATGAAATGCAAGGCCCGTATCCCGTAATCAGTCGTGGGCAGATAAGCAACTATACCAGTTTCCACGATGATTCTCGCGCTGCATATCAGAATGCTATTATGTGTAAGTACACAAGCTCTAAGGGCCTTTTCCAGGGCTAATACTTCGTAATAATAAAGGGTACATCACCCGCAGCCAAAGCCACTGGAACCGCTCCACCACGATCCTTGACGCCTGGGGCTCCGACCTCGAGAACATAATCGGCACAGACAGATCGCTCCTAATCGGCATCGAAGGTTCCATCTTCGCCAACGCAGCTGAGATCATGCGCTGGGAAGGCGGCTGGGTCGAGCAAGGCGCGACATACAAAGGTGGCTCGGGCTTTAGCGTCCAGCTCTACTGGCTTTTCGCCCGGCAGAGTATCATCATCGGGCAAGCGAACTACGGCATGGCAAGTATCATGGGCTTGCTCAATTTCGCAGTCTATCTGGACGACGTGGCTCTATACAATTTTGCCTTATATGCATACAAAAACGATCGCTGTGCCGGGGTGCCGTATAATTATCTAGCTTCCACTGGCCAGAACTCCGAAGCAGGTCGCGATCAGACCCATGTACAGGATGCGCTGCAATGGACGGCACTTGCTGCGAGGGTCGTCGCTAACCAGGACTATGATTTGTTTGCTTTGGAGGATAATCTTATCTTCACCGCAGCGGAGTATGCAGGGAAGTATCTCATGAATCAGACGGTGCCGTATGATGCGAGCTTTTATCGGTGTGAAGTGGTGTTGGTGGATGGTCCTTGGGCGAACATTTCCGCGGTGAATCGGTATATCGGGTATCAGGATGGAAAGACGAATCCGGCTGCTTGGGGTCTACTCTATTATGAAGCTTTAGAGAGGGGGGTTGATGTGCCTTGGACTTCGCGAGTGAAGGATGTTTATGATGCTTCTGTGAAGGGTCAGGCCTCGCCGGTTGATCCGTTCAGTTGGGCGGATTTGCTGTTTGCGGTTGCAGAGAAGTAGATAAGTCGATGAATGCACTTGCTTGGCATGTATGAATACACAATGGGATTTCAAATAAGTGGTAACAAAGTGGCATAGCTCTGTTCCAATAAAACTCTATATGGACTTTGAATACTGAAGACCGAGATTATTCTGTTCACTATATGGTGGTAGTACTCAAGAACGTCGGTTAGATCAGCACTCATGTCCGGGATGATTTCTCAGAAACTTTTTATACAGTCACTGTCACATATTACAGAACCATTCATCACTAACTAGCTACTAGCAGGCAGACTATACATTCCCAAATACACAACAATTGAACCGCGACCTAATAAACATACCGAAAATTTGGATTCTCCCT